TTTCAATTTCTCTTTTATGTTTTAACTTCATAATGTCTTTACATCTGAATTCTCCTTCTTTTGTAAATATAATACAATGTTATACAAACAACACGATGACGCCTGAAATAAATTTTATTTAATAATACTGATTTATATACGTTCGCAGTTTTATATATTCGAGATAATTTGGAGAAGCGAACACAATAAACTAGAAATATTTTGAAAACAGATTGTCATTTGAAATTTGTTGGTTGTATATTAATATTTGATTAAAAATGACTTTTCATTTATTTCAATGACTTTAAAAAAATTTCAAATTAAGTTTGAAAAAGCCAGCACAATCGCGATTTTAGATGCCAACTAACACAATGTCACAATAATATAAACAAAATTTCAATGCAAAATTGTAAACGTGAAGCAGGCAGATGCGCATTTCGAAATAATTTTTTTTTTTGTGAAGCTCGATGCTGAAATATTTGAAAATCCAAAACTTATACAAACGTTGACAAGTTGATCAAATAAAAAAGGACCTAAAGTATTGCCAAATCCGGATGAGGAACTGAATTTAGCAAGAGGGAGATATATTCTTTTATTCAATATAATTTAAAATATTTTATAACAGTAAGTTTCAATTAAATAATATCCGTATTTTCATGTCAGTACCGAAGTACGGTCGTGTTTACAATTTTAAGATTATTCATTCTCTTTTGTATTGTATTGTGCATGCTTTTGGATTATGATGGTATTGCGACTCCTGTAAAGCACGTTCATATTACCTTACAATTTAGCTATTAAACCCGTAAATTAAAGTAGTTCTGGTTAATGAAAATTATTAAACTACCTGTTAGCAAAACAACTTGCAGCCCTGTTTATCATAAAAGATTTATCATTGATATTAATTTTTGTATCTCACTGCGTGTGCGATTTGTTTTGAATTAATGTAAGGGACTACAATTCTAACAAAACAGAAAACAGAACAATGTTAGAATGATCTTTAAGTTAATGCTTGCGTCAAACCCTACATTCAGGTCCTCACACTCTAAAAGCACATCACATGTGTATGTTTATTGTATCTTACAAAAACGTATATATTTGAAGTTAAAGAATGTTAACAAAATGCATTTGGTATAAGATTACACTTAATGTAATTACAATGGTAATGTTCATTAATTCATGTAAAATGGCGATTGGTTTATTTTTATAATTCCTGAAAATTTTGATGTAAAACTGAATAAGATTTGACATATGTCTGATTGAGCGAGATTGCTGACGACCTACACACTCTCATCCAAGGAGGTCGCTTAAACAGAAAAAAAACAACATAAAATATTAAAAAAAAAACAATAAAAAAATAGAATAACTTCCTAGTCACCAAAGCCAAACTTATGTTTGTCATTAATAAAGAATGAAAAAATTTACGAAATCAAATAAAAATAGACTGAGAAAGGTATAGACAATGAAAAATAACTAAAACTACTGAAATAAGAACTAAAAACCCCAGGCTCAATTTGCTTGCAACTTTGTTACAAGAGTAATACCATGTAAATACATGTTCAAAATTGAAAAGGTTAATTGTTTCTCAAACAATGTAGGAATAACAAAACACGTGTCTCAAAATAGTCTATCAAACATGTCAAGTATGGATTTCTTAATGAATATTTCAAATGATGTTACAACCACTTTTTATATTAATCCAAAATTTAAAATAGCTCACTCTCCTTTCTTCTACGGCTTTGGCTATTTTTCGGTGTATAAGCTCTTCAGTTTATTTCATATATTTTGGATTCTTAAACATTCTAGCCTCCGAAATCACTGAAGAGACATTTACTGTCGAAATGCCAACCTCGTTTGTACCCTTAATGTTATTGTAATCATCGTTAACAAACCATACATGTATGATAATTAAGAACAACTGCAAAACAGCCACCAATATCAATAATTTATGAAATATTAAATATGGTCATCGTGACATTTTTAAAAATCATAATCCAGACGGATACGAAATTGGTGGAAATCGATTGGTGATAGAAAGATACTAAACAAATGAGGAAACAAACCGTCAAGACGATGTTGTTTCTTGTGTGTCTGCTGATCTTCCTAATCGTTAAGAACCGTATGTCTCCCCTATTGATATGAACGTTTTTAAGTATTGTTAAATTTCTAAGAAATGATGCTATCTTACGTTGATAAATCATTGAGGTAATTACCAATCCGCAATTTCTTGATGTCTAATCAATTTATTTAACTTTATCAACGTATTTTATAGCAGTAATACAACGGGTGTCACGTTTGGAGATGGATCTGCTTACCCTTCCGGAGCACATGAGATCACCCATAATTATTGGTGGGGTTCGTGTAGTTCAGATTTTAGTTTTCTATGTTATGTTTTCTGTACTTTTGTTTGTCTGTTGTTTGTTTAATTTTTAGCCATGCCGTTGTCAGTTTATTTTTGACTTATAAGTTTGAATTTCCCTTTCGTATTTTTCGCCTCTCTTTTACACTTTATTTAAAATTTACATAGTTTAAACATATCAGATTATCTGTACTTTCTGGAAAGTTTTTATTTTAAAAATCGTTATTTTATCATCTATTTATAATATTAAAAGACAAGATTGCCTACAACAAACAAATATTCTTTGCTGGTAGAACCACAAGAGTAAATAAAATTTATTAATGTCAGAAAATATAACAATAAGACAACGTATTTATCATGACTACAGTATCATCATGATTAGTTAAGCTAGTGTTCAGTCGTCAGCAAATTAAAAAAAAAAACAGGTCAATGAAGTAGTATCTATTTGACCTCCATAGTTGATAAGTTAACATATAAATGATTCAAGTTTCGAAAGCCGATTTTTTACTGACACTTTTCAAATTGGCTTAGATTTTTAAAATTCAAAATATCATTACATCTGGATTTCCCCTCTTCGGATAAAACAAAACTGTAGCAATGTAATTCAAACAACAGAATGACGGCTAAATGCACTATAGATAACTTCATTATGTGCCCCTGTTAAAAACCAACGATTTGGAAAGAACATAGTCAGATAATGTATATTAGCTTATCCATAAAATGAAATAAGATAAGCGCGTTAGTGTTTCATATATAGTCTTACATGTAAAGCTGGATCTGCATCTATTTTGGAGCACTTGAGATGACCCTCGTTATTTTGTATACTGTTGTCTATCTTATGGTCGTTTTTTCGTTATTTGCCATGGCATTATCAATTTGTCATCGAGTTATGAGTTTGAATATCTCTCTGGTATCCTCCGCCTCACTTTTACATAGATTGTTACAAATTCTAAAACTATACTCCAAATCCTTAGTATCATTGAAATTATGTAACAGCTGTTCCCCATGCTCAATTCAAAGATTTTAATAATCTTCTAATTATACTTTTGAAAGATCGTTGACGGCACACTTCTGCTTAGCGACTTGTTTTTGTGTTCACAAAAAGGATATAAACTCGGATATGGAACAACGTATCAAAGCCATAAAAAGCAACTTGCCAAGTTCCACTCCACCGAATATGCTGAAAACGAGGAAATTGTATTACATATCTTCTTTGACTGTAGATACAGTTGAACATTTCGGATTTTGTCATAAATTAATTGCAAATTTACCATGCAAGATGTAATTCGTGGGTCCGTTTCAACTGTTCTGTATTTGATATCAAAACATTATCTTAACTTTAACTCTAAGCCTTTTACTTCATGTTTGCTATTTGCCGTTGAACGTTTGATTCGAACGCCACTAAGGGTCTTATGTAGACCAATCGCGCGTTTGGTGTTGCAAATTATACGCCTCTTATCTTTTTTGAGATTTTGCCTTGACAAAAAGTGTCCACAACTTTAATATTCGTTGTAGAATAGAAAACTTACTATTAATATTTCCATTCTATATAGAGCAATGTACAAATAAAAAGTGTTTGCATAAGAAACTGTCCTTTGGTTTATTATTTATACCTTATGTGTTCATATTTGATAAAGAAACGGGTGTAACATGTGCAGCAAGATCTCCTTCCCCTTCCGAAGTACATAAGAAAACCCGCTGTTTTGATGGTGATAGTTCTGCTCAGTCGTAATTTACTACGTAGTGTAATTGTAACTGTGGACTGTTTTTTTATGTCGTTTTTTTTTGTTATTTGGTCATGGTAGCATTGTCCGTTCGTTTTCAACTTTTGAGGTTAAATGTCTCTTCGGTATCATCCGCCTTTCCTTTGCTACAAACAAATCTGTAGAATTTTTTTCTTTCATAACATTTTTCGATAGTTTAAATTAATTGATGAGAACAGGTCAATATCATGTTAAAAATTCTTATATATAATAAACTTTATTTGAGAAATACCCGATTTTAATCTCTTCCCAAATACATGATTTTGATATAGAAAAAATAGTAGTTAACTGATGTTCAAATCGTATACGTCACTTACAAAGACACGTATAGTGGTAACAAAACGAAAAGTCCAAAAAGAGCGAGGCCGCTTTGAATGAGCATTAGGCATGGATATAATTTTTTTTTGTAAGTGTATTGCTGGAATTTGAGTATCCAATAAAGTGTTGTCGCTCCAATTTTAATACAATCAAAAGTCCCCAAACACTAAATAGAAAGATAAAACCTAAACAACACGAACCCTAAACAACACAGGTGGTGCATATCGGAAGATAATGCATATTTTGTTCCACATGAGGTAACCGTCATGTTGATTATATTAGTGCAAATTCGGTGTTTAGTCTCATTCGGAGATGTCACAATCGTAGAAATAGGACCGCAGGATGACTTCAACAAATGAACATACATGTATCATTGATTATCTGTAACACAGAAAAGTGACATAAGGTAAATAAAATCTATACGTGCACATTTCAGCAATTATATACTCATGTATGTGATCAACAAAATTGGCTTCTTAAACATGTTAAAAGGATCAATTGCAACGTGATAAGCATATATGTTTAGAATCGGATGATGAACTTAAATATAATTCCTTAGATAAATCATAATGTGTTGATTAGAAATTTAGATTGTCTTACAATTTACTGGACGCTGCCAACTTACAGATTTATGTTTTACATTTCTAATTAGTATACCATAGCACGTGTTTAGAAGTTTCATATCATCACGTTATTTTACAAGTTTTATGACATGTTACGTAATTGGGATTCTTTAAGAGATAAATTCAACATGGATTGATTATAAATCAGACGAGTTCCGAATAAACAAACTCCAAATTTGCTATCGATCTGATTGAAACTAATAGTACAGACTTGTATACGATTGTGTTTTTATTACTTGATAGATAGATGTGGAATTAATGCAAAATGGCCGTGACAGACAACATAACTGTAAATTTGAGTATAATCTTGAATAAAGCGACAGAGAGCAGCATAGAAATAATGAAGTACAAGGTGAGATAATTTGAATTCAAGCAAGTAATGAAATATTGCAAAATAAAGGCGATGGTAGTTTACCGATGTACAAACCTCGTACATCTATTGAGAAGGAACAAATCAAGGTAACCATTGGTAACTAAAAGTATTCTTTAACAGATTATTTGATTACAAATTTAAAATGTTTTCACATATTACGATACAAACAGGTCTTGGCTCTCATTCAGAAAATATAATTTTTAACCTTTTTGTTATGAAAATAGTATAAAACTTTTCTCAGTGAAAGCTTTTGTTTTTTACCTGTCTTCTAACTTAGATTAAAGATGCATGTCTCTATTACACATAGAATGTGAAGTGTAACAGTTATACCAATTGTTATAAATTGTTTACAATTTATCATATATGCATATGATGCATTTGATACGGTTTATTCATTTAAGAATTCTTTTGATGAAAATCTAAAGAGCAGATAAATTAGAATTTTGTTTATGAATTTATGCAGGTTGAAATCATCTTTACATAAAAAAAAGGTTAAACTTCTCCAGAATTTATGAACTAGCCAGCAACTTATGAAGTCAGACATTTGTCAGAATCAGATTTTTTGCTTAGTTTTCTTTAAATTCTTTTTTTTGGGGGGGGGGGGGGGGGGGGAGGGAGGGGACGGGCTTATCTGGACCTACATATACGGTTAATGTATACTTTTTATAAGTTTAATTCCTTACGTTGACTATTTTTGGATCCTTTTATCAAAATCATAGATCCGCAACTGGAAGTAGATTACTTTATATATATATATATATGGGGACTTGAATCTATAATGAATTTATCACGGGTTGGCCCTTTTTCCTAAATATTTTACCTCGAGCGATAACGAGGGCTAAAATATCGGCATATAGGCAAACCCGTGGTAAAATCAATTCAAATTCAAGCCCCCATGAATTATTTCCATTCTTATAGGACAAATACGGCAATTCTTTTGGATCGAAGTGCTCTAGGTGAAGTCTAACATTTCTGTTCTCGTAATTAAACACAATATTAGTTTTGATGTAAAGATTGGAGAAAACTGAACTAGTCACATGCTAAAACTATTTACAGTAACATACTCAGATAGGTTTGGATGAAGTTAAATGATAATCTTACTTATATTTAAAAAAAATATATATAGCTTTTAACAAATTTTTATAATCATTTGTTTATGTTTACTTGTTTTGCTGACTTTCGGTTTCACAATCGTGCAATTTCCCGTACAATGTTTACATTTTTACGTTATCGTTTAGTGGCACCATTAACTTCGATCGACCTCGGGTAGCTCATTCATAGAAAACAAACATATGACGTGGGAGTATGATCGTAACAGCCCAAAAAATCATGACGTTGCCGATCAGCTGATAGAGAATATATTCAAATTTTACCACGGGTGTGTACTCAAAGCGTTTGAAGAACGTCATATTGGAATTTCTAATCTACCATGCAAACATATTGTACGACTTCTTTTTGGACTTTTGAAATATCTTTTTTTTTATATTTTCCTTGTCCTTTTACTTATATATGGATGTGTGATAGTTGACAATATACATATTCTCAATTAAGAACCAAGAACTCTGAGGGCCTTTCAAAATCCTAAAACCGCTCATAACTGCATGCCTTTTGTAAAAGACAGTATTGAAAATTATAACATTCAGACTTGATTTTTTACAGGATCTCAAATGGATATCCTTGACTATTCTACTTGGAATAATATTTCTAAACATTGTGGTTGTGGTGTTATTGATTTCAAGAAAACCAAAATCTAGGATGAGATTGTTTGTGGCTAACTTGGCAATAGCAGGTAAACATTTTGATTATCCATATGTATTACCTTCAGTTTTTAAACATGCAGAATAAAAAAATGGTTCCAAAAAAATCAGCTGCTGGTATGGAAAACATATCGGTCAGAATCACAAAATAAATGCATAAGGTATGTCTCATAATCTAATTCTCCACACACAAAAACACACAAAAATATGAGCTTGTCAGATTGTCAAAAAATATAGTTCTTTACTTCTTTTATTTTCAGATCTGTGTGTGGGAATATTTTTTGTATTGCCTGAAACTTTGTTTAATTGGTTCGACATACCATGGAATCGACACGTGTGTTATATTTTTTATGTGTATTTTTCAATGGTCCCTTTTTATGCGTCAACATATGCAATTGTCGTGTTATCAATTGACCGTACATATGTTATTTTAAGACCATTTGCTTCAGCATCTAAAGGCAAACAATACCGATATGGAATGGCATTGTCTGCATGGGTTATTGGGTGTATTCTTGCTATTCCGTACGGAGTCTTTGGTGAATATAGTGAAGAGGACATTTACTGCTTACATGTTGCTCCAATCTTAGTAAGTTTATCTTTGATTTAAAAAAAAATATTCATTAAATCAGTCAAGTTAAAAGCATTATACACATGTCAGACAATATTGATATGATAAGTACAGACATAAACTGAAAAATGTGAAATAAAATCTCAAAAGCTAGATCTCCAGGTATCAGAACAGGTATGGCGACAAGTATATTCATGGCCTGCATTATTTGTCCACTTACCAAAACATCCCACAATCACTTTTGGTAGTGACTTTCAAGCATGTAATTAAGAGCAATCATAATCATTGTGAAAATTCCCAACAATGTCTGATAATGAAAAATATGTTTTCAAAAAATTATAAGTCAATAAAAATACAACACTATTTGATAACCAAAATGACTGAATGTAAAACTTCAGTCAAAACAAAACGTAACATAGAAACTAATATACATGGGAAGTTGGGGGTTGATGGGGAAAATTGACCATAAGGGACAAGAGAGAAGTGTAAGATACTCAAGGTTCATTCAAACTCATATTTCGAAAAACTGACAACGCCATTCCTAAAAAAGAAAAACAAACCGACAGACAAACAACAGTACACAAAACAGAACATAGAAAACTGAAGCCGGAGCAACACGAACACCACCAAAAACTGGGGTTGATCTCAGGTGCTCCTTACGACAACTTTAATTTCAAGGTTAAGTCAAGAAACGATCAGACGAAAAACAATCTCTAATGCAATCGCATGATTTGCAATTTATTTGTTTATCACATTGAGTGAGGCTATGTGCGTAGAAAGGGTACGCATCTTCGGCCCTACACACATCTTCCGTCATGTGAATATCAAATCTGAAGCGAACAGAAAAAATGACAAAAAAAAATCAATTATTAATTTGGCTTCTAAAAGTCTGAGACTTTTCTTAACTGATAAAGGTCACCTCACGAACAATATATATACGACATTAGCCAAATATATACAAACTAACAAAATACTGACAAATTCAGATTAAAAATACATGTATAAATCTCAATGGCAGAGATAATTAATATCATATGATTTAATGTAATAACAAATCCAACAACACTACTTGGCATGCACTAATTGTTGCATTTCCAGGACACAAGATTAATCAGAAATTGTAATAACGATATTCTAAAGTTCTCGTATAATAAATGAACGCAGTGCTAGACACCACTCACTTAAATGCACTGAACAATTATTTCCTTCTTTAATTAACTACAAATAGTTGTCTTAAATACAATATTCGGACAATACATATAAAGTATTTGGTCTGTGCCTTTCAAATTTAGAGCAATTGTAAGATGGTCATTTCATCATCACATGTTATTAGGAACAATTTGATACCATAGGACTTTTTGAAAAACCATTATAGTCTGTGGATAACATGTACAAGTATGTATATATGTGGCAAAGTGTATTAAATGTAATTTTTCAGTTACAAGTACGTTATAACTTGTTCAATTTTGATTGTTCAATTCTCATTTGATAAATTACATAATTTTTCTGTAATAAAGGATGTTGTTTTCTTAAAAAAAAAATCTCCAAGTTACTTTTGAATATTTTATTAATGCCTCTTTGATTTCTAGGCACTGGAAAATTTTACATTTTCATTCTTAACTTTCTGTGTTTGCATGTACATTTACCGGATAAGGAAAATTAATGACATGTGCACACAAAAATAGTTAGCATAATTGTGTATATTCATGATATTTATTGGTGTGCTCCTGTGAATTGAATGTAAAATGTTTGCTACATTATATATACATAATTTTTGGGGTTTTTTTTGGATCAATTGTAGATAATGTTATACATGGATCTCTGTACTATAATCATAATTCCACTGATAATCATATGTGTGTGCTACATTATTGTCATCATCAAAATACGTGGTCGCGAAAGAGATGAATTTATTCTGGATAAAAACAAAGATTCAGGTAAAAATAATTTACAACATTGGCAATTATATATTTTCTCATTGTTGTAGGCCATACAGTTGTCTATAATTGCTAATATCGATTCCGTTAAAAATTTGGCGGATAGCTGTCTCATTATTATTCATACCACATCTCCTTATGTTTTAAACTATGTACCTCCTCAAATGCATTTGTTCATTGCTTCTTTTTGACAATTTTTGAAATTAGTCTAATATGCATGCTTTTTTAATAGTTGTTATTAGCTTTGAACTAGCTGTCAGTAACTACAAACGAGTACTCTCAGATGTGTACGTAGTGTCATTTTGTTGTGGGGATGTATAAGTACCCTGCCACGTCCAATCTGTGTTTTTGTTAGATGTATTTCTATTTGTATCCATCTGATGAGTTAAGCTTTTTTCAACTGTTTTCTATAGTTTGTTCTTATGTTGTCCCAGGTTAAGGTGAGGGCTGGCGATTTCAAACGAGTTTAGCTTAGTTCTGTATGTGCCTATCCCAAGTCTGGAGCCTGTAATTCAGTGGTTGTCGTTTGTTGCTGCGTAACATATTTGTTTTTCGTTTATTATTTTGTACATAAATTAGGCCGTAAGTTCTTTCGTTGGAATTGTTTTACATTTGTTATTTCGGGGCCTTTTTGTAGCTGCCTATGCGGTATGGGCTATGCTTATTGATGAAGGCCGTTCGGTGACCTATAGTTGTTAAAGTCTGTGTCATTTGGTCTCTTGTGGAGAGTTGTCTCATTGGTAATCATACCACATCTTCTTATTTTTATATTATCCCAACTTAATTTTTTAGAGGAGAGGCGAAAAATAACAAAGGGATATTCAATCTCAAATAGGGAGTTGCAGTAGGGGTTAACTATATCCTTATTGTTCGTGTAATAATAAAGAATTTTGCATAAAGATAACTGATATGTACGAGTAAAAATTTAACTATCATAAGGATTTGAAAAAAAGCTTCGTAAAATCATGAAATGATATTAAACATTAAAAATGGAAACCATATGTCCAGAAAAACAAATCAATATCAATGAAATTAAGGCTTTATAAGTGTTGTGGATCCGAATATCTTTTCTGTGTAACTCTTCATAAAGAACTCTTAAATCTTAAAAAAATTAAAGCGTGAAAAACATGGATTGGTAAATCCATTGAAACATTCGGAGCTATATGATCAACAGGACCTAAAAGGAATAGAAAGGAAATCCCTCTTAGTTCAATTCTTAAGGAATTTGGAACCTTAGTTTCTTAATAATTAATTAATCTATCAACGGGGAATTAATTGGCTTAATGCAAATTTAAACATTGTTTGTTTGTGCGTTGTTTATAATATGAACCTAAAAATATGTATATGCTTCATTTATCCATACACCTTACCACTAAGAATTGAATAACATCACTTCATGTCAGTAGACGAACAATTACCTGAAGTATAATCATAATAAAATATATATTACTTTCATATAGTTTAATCAGTTTTTTTCCCTAAAGGTAAGTAAGTGGTTTTATTTAACTCTTAAAGAGTGTTTGTGTATGTCTTAAGATCACTGTTTTAATGGATACGGATGTACAGTGGTACTGCAAGTATTGTAAATGTTTGAATTTTACTCTGTTGTGTATATTTCTTCGCATATTGCAGATAATGATTGTGATATAGAGTTAAAACATAAAGCTGCAACAAAGGCAAAGATCAGAACCATAAAATTATTATGTGTTGTCGTTTTCGGTAAGAAGGTTTCATACTTGCATTTCTGTAAAGCGTATTTGCATATCGCATACATAAAAGATCGTTAAATGGTATGAGTATTTGAAGTGTTGTTTGCAGATTCAATGCACATGTTTTACAATTCTACTGCAGAAAACGATAAAACGCCTGATTAAGGTAAAAGATAGTGATAGATATGTCATTGATAAAATGTAATCATATGTATACTTTGAGTGTTTTAGCTGTAGTTACGTAACATAAAAATATGCTATATCACGTATATTAATGGACACTTAAGGATGTTCGCTGCACTTGTTTTGATTTTTTGTCACATCTTCGGAATTATCTGGTTTTATCAATGTAGCGCAATTTAAAAATGCCTGCTTAACCTTTTTTTTTTGTAAAAATTTCATTACATAAAATTTATAGTATAAAACGCTATTTCTGAAAATCGTATAATTTTTTTGTTATTTTTCAAAGCTTTTGAAAGACAAAAAAGGTGACATTGTTAATTGAATAAAAATATAGAGACAATCATTTCCAGCCAAATTTTTCAATATCTTATTTCTAAAAACAAGAACACAGACCTATCATTTTTTATCCTGTTTAGCTCCGTCATTTATATACCATCAATGTATAACAGTCTTTGAAAAAGCTTTTTTATTTTGAAACAAAGTAGCGAAAATCCTTAAATCAAAAAGTATTATTAATTGTCATGCAAGTGGTAGGTTTAGCTAGTTATAAAACCAGGATTAACCCACCCGCTTGAAAATGCCCAAAACTAATTCAGGAATATGATAGTCGTGTTCCAATAGTTGTGTTGGTTGATATAACTGAGTGTATGATTTTTAGGGGGTTTCATGGACTTCCCCCTTTTAAATTCACCTTAAATTCGATATTTTTGTTAATACTTTTAACAACTCGTATTGCAAAAGAAGCTTGAAATATCATCTTCTATATTTAGTTCGGGGAATTAAACAGCGACGTAATAACATAATGACAGACACTCGTAATGGAGTATATGTATCATGTATTATACTTCTTAAAAAGTCATCGGCCAAATAAAGTACGAATTAGCAGAGCAATGGTGACTCAAAATGAAGAAAGGTTTTGCCAAATACAGCTAAGCAAATACAACTCGTCAAGGCATTTCAGAATTATGTCCTGGTGCGTCAATAGAAAAAGTATAAAAAAAGAAAAGAAACAGGACACTTGATTGTCGATCAGAATGTTGTGGTGATCGTAGAAATTATGAAGAGTTGACATCATAAATGTTTACTGGTACACTTGTAAAGAATACGGTTAATATCAAAGTAAAAAATCTAAACTCATAAGTCGAAGTGAGACGGACAAAACTGAAATTGTAAGTTGCGATTGGAAATAGTTAAATCCTTGTTCTGGGTTTAACAGAGTGAATATAGCTTAACAAATCTGTAAATGAATCACATCATGTTTGCCTCTTTTACATTATAACCTAATATTTTTGTCTAGATATATGGTATGCAGCAATACCTTTAATGAAAATAACGGATCCATAACAAGCTTTCTTTCATTTTGCAGCATATATAATTTGTTGGTCCCCGATAACAATTGCTGCCATTGTGCTCCATTATAGACTCGCGGAATATGGACTGTGGTTTATGGTGCTTTATCTGCTTGCTCCGTTAAACAGCCTGGCAAATCCACTGGTATTTCTCATTTTCAACCAGAAAATGTTTCGGCGTAAAAAGAAAAAAGGTTTTAGCAGAACGACTTTTAATACAGACACCCAGAGAGTAACATTATGTAGCTAGATTTGCAATGATTATGATCAGACGCATGATATGTACATGTACATGCTTCATTTGGTGCAGTATATATAATCGTTTTGGCTTCCCCCTTTTGTAATAGCTTTTGGGCTTTCAAATATTTTGGCCCCGAGCAAAGAAGAGACATTAATTGTCGAGATGCGTATCTGGTGCAGTAATATTGGCACTGTTAATACTATTATATAATTATGTTATAATGATAATAAAAAAAGCAGAGATATGAATACATATTTATTTACTGGGTGCTATTTCAAATATGCAAACTCCCTAAATTTCATATTCAGAAACATAGTATGTGGAACAAATTCTTTATATGAGTATGAAAATTTAATCCATGTCAAAGGACAAGGTACGATTAGGGCGTTTTTGGCCCCTCTCCAAATAAGTTTATATAAATATCATTGATGGTCTTGGTATAGAAACTTGAAAAAAACTATGATTTTATTGTGTTCGGTGAATGGAAAGTTGCCTAGCAACGGTTTTTATTAAGTATCAAAATTATCACATATTGATCATGTTAATTGCTTTATCAGTACAAATTTAAACAATTCAAAATAATATTGTTTGTCTAAGAAGAACTTGAAGTCTAAAATGAAAAGTCCCTATGATTTCGTTTACTATATGCTTAATAATAAAGGCAACAGTAGTATACCGGTGTTCAAAAGTCATAAATCGAAAGAGATAAAACATTATCCGGGTTACAAACCAAAACAGAGGGAAACACATCAACTATAATAGGAAAACAAAGGAACAACAGGAACACCGAAGAACAACAAAAACAAACGCCAACAAACATAGAAACATGTATAATCACATTTGTCCGTTGTAGTTGATTTGCGAATATTAAATATTTATCTTTTAAAACACCATGCACATTTTGGTGCACAGTTTCGCTTGGTTGGTCATTTTCCCATTCAGCGTAAAACTCATGAGACAAACACAGCCTCGGTTGTCCCGTTGAAGCGTCTTCGGCTCGAGTGCCGGATATCGTAGGTTCTGACCCCGGCCGGGTTAAACCAAAGACTTTAAAATTAGTATTTGCTGATTTTCCGTTAATCACGTGGCACTAAGGGGTGAGAGCAAAGACTAGTTGGGTCGGAGTCAGAATATATAGTGTCCAGGTAGGGTGATATGTCTTCGTGCGGACTGTAACCTGATAAGTTAGCACATTAAAAATAATGACTTAAACAACTCATGCAGTAACATGTTGTCCAGTAGTCAGTTCTTCTGTGTTAACAAGAATTATCATTGATATGGTCAAATTTATAAATTAACTGTTTACTTTGAATTCTATTAAAAACTAAGGATTGTCTATTCAGGAATAGATAACCTTGGCTATATTTGGCAAAACATTTCGGAATTTTATGCCTTTTATGGTCTTTTGACTTTTTTTATTCGACCGTCACTGATGAATCTTTTGTACACGAAACACGCGTCTGGCGTACAAAATTACAACCACGATATATTTGACTATGATGTGTTTTTTCCTTTAATTTGATATTCAATATTCGATTGTTTTTCTTTGACGTGTGAATATCTGATTGAAAAATTCAAATTCTTTTATTTATTTAGATATGTTTAAAGTCATTATAGTACTGTAATGAAAGAGGAGATATGATTGATTGAGTGTTGTTTTCTGACCGTCCAGTGGCAAATACTTCATGCATATTTATGACGGAAAGTAATCTAAGGAATAATTTTTCAAACAAGAAATACGCTGTGGCACGCGTTGTCGTTTAAAAATAGCGGCGGGAAGGCAGGGGATAATTACAAATCATAAGTCCAATAAATACAAAAAACATCATGACCAAAACATTACTCAAGATACCTTATAGTGTTGGATAGTTTTGTTTGATCTTTATTACTGTTACGCTGAAACAATTAAATAATTAAAATTGTCACATGGTTTCTTCTTTTGTCATATGAATGACAATGTATGTTATTATTCACAGTTCTGTAATTTATTTTTGCCATCCGTAATGATTGCTAAAAATGTTAACTTGGCATGCCATTCTTGATAGAAATGCGGACGTGAAAGAAAGCACTTTTCACAAAAGCGTCAACGGAAAGGGCGACGATTTTGTCATTTATAAAACAAAATACGTGTTTCTGAAAGGTAAAGTTGTACTAAAATTTAATGTTGACACCAATAGTAGCGATCTGTTGCGTATAGATTGTATATTCAAAATTTGTCTTTGTTTAGAATACACCATTCCACGGAGATTAAATGCTTAACAAATCTCTGCAGTTTTTACGTTACACAAGACATATTTATTCTGTGTCACAGTGTTCTAAATATTGGAATTTAGTCAAATAGGAACTGTTTGAGTAAGAACCAATTAATATAAATAACTTTGGTTTCATTTCCATTCCCGAAATTTTTCTGAAGTTTGTCACAGTTCCTTCTGATTTGTGTCAAAACTCGACGGTCTGCTTAAATCTCACTTATACAATACTAAATACAGGAATATCCTGTTTTTTCGTAGATGTAAAATTTACATCATATAGAAACTAGCCATTATAGTACGAAGAAAAGTCTGTCGTCGGATCACTGAATACCGGAAATCATCTCTGGTCCGCAGTTCGTTTAAATATTTCGATGATTCAATTGACAACTATAATAGTGTTTGGCGAAGAGTGCTTTATTACAATAATGCAATCATATATAGTTATACCAAACATGGTATCAATAAGCTTCAATGAACAAAGTATCAATATGAAGCACCTGAACCCAAAACGAAGTCGCCAAACCGAGGGAGAGAAGAAAAAAATACATATACAAAATACAGCAAAAAATCAAAAATATAAAAATACACCGGCACACATACCCTAAAACCGACTAACGATCAAATAATTCATTGCTGAAGTAACTCGATACATATCAACACTGGCTTTTTTAATGTAAGTCTGAGAACAGTCAGATCGCCAGTCTCCATTATGTTTCAATAAAATCTCAGGAATTTCAGCCTTGGTGGCTAACGCAGCTCCTCCGTGCTTCAAGAAATGAAAAGAATAAACTAATGGGTCTAAACCAACAAGAACAATCAACTCTCTGAAACGGCCCAATAAAACGGATCTAGATAAAGGCAATAATTTACCATTGACAGGTAAAGCAAACACGGGAGCATACTTATCACCAGGTATTAAAGTCGCAAGATGTTTGTAAGCTCGAACAGGACAAATTAATGGCTCGACTGAGCAACATAGAGAAACCTGATGTGTGTAATCATGATTTTGTCTAGTCTTTGACCATTTCAATAAAAGAAGGATACCCCTATCACAAACAACAATATTCTTCCTGATCAATTGTTCACGGGGATTAAAAGAAGCAGAGCTTCTGCTGACCATATTTGACGCCCTAAGCATAACAAAAAAAGCAAACGTTAAAAAAAAACATAAACAAGCATCTACATAATCCTAAATATATAACAACCTAACAATATCAATTTAATGTTTCGGTAACAATGGCAATTTTGACACAGCAACATGCTGAATCTTATGTCTCAATCCCCTTGAAGTCAATTTCAAATATGTAGATAAAAAAGGTTCCACAATAAAACCAAACAGTTGACTCCAGGTCTTAATGCCAGAAATATAATTCTTTACAGACGAAAAACTGCGTAAACTCTTTGATAAAAAAACATGCGTAAGCACACAAGATATCCTAAGTAGAAGGAAATGGTCGAAATTTATAAAACACACAAACAATATGGAATGCTTTGAATTGACTCTTCAGATAAGAATAAGTACCAGGCCGAAAAGCTGCACCCTTAGCAATCGTGACCTCTTTCCGTAAAACTGCTCTGCTGGACATAAGACCTGGAAGTCACAAGACAACAGTAATTAGATAAACAAAAATGTCATATGCATCATCATAGTTACTCTTATCACCAGTTATGCGCTAAAATAGTATAAATGTATCACGTATGAACACCTAGATATTAATGATATCATTAAACATGTGACTAAACTCTTCTCTTTCTCGACAAAATCTGAATTGTACATCTAATTAGATTCTATGAAAAACTGTGATCTGTTCTTCTCCGAAAGATTTCAACGGGATAGCAAATCCGATAACCTATTTTCAACAGATGCTAAATAACTCACACGCAATTGAACATTACTTGTCGCACACAAGTACCATATTTGACGTGCCAAATTCAACATTTCCTGATTACGTCCTGATCTCCATTTAAGATTTCGACACATGATTGATTGTCACAAAACAGCTGTACACGTTTATTGGAGATACTAGATGTCCAAAATTGAATTGCTATATAAATCGCATACATTTCAAGCACAGATATGTGCATGTCCCACAAAGACCCCGGTATGTCCAAATGTTGTGAAGTTGACACTACCAATACCCTTGAGTCAGAGGAAATAATTGCGTCTGGTGAAATTATACTAATTCCATTATAGTCATATATAAAAGTAAACAACAACCTCAGGTCTTGTCTAAATTCATCTGTGATATAAACACAATAATTATTGAAATGGTATTTTCGTAATGTCTGTAACATGCGTGAAATAAAAAGTCTTTCGCTTAGGACGCATTCGGAAATAAATGCTAACTTGTCAATAACTTGTTGTAACTGATGTTTATTGCAATGTTTTTCCGGGCAAATCTTCGTAACAACTCATAAGTCTCTTGCAATTTAGTCTCTGGAATTCGAACTGTCATGTCAATTGAGTTATACTCCTTGTCGAAAAATGTCAAAACTTTTCTCGGCGGCAAACACTTTTCTTTGCTGACCTTTAATCTTAACCTCTGAAACAATTCTAACACAAAATTATAGTCATGTTCAGCGTTCTGGTTGTCACTAACACCACCAAATCATCAACATAGTTAATTGTATGGATGTTAGATTTCCATAACATATAGGAAACAGCATTCGTTGTTCGTTAACAGGCCTATGGTGAAGAGCGCATACCAAAAATAAGACGGTTGTCAATAAAAATGTGTCCCTTCCATTCATAACCTTGTAAATGTAAGTCGTGCGGATCTAATAATAGTTGGTGAAAGACCCGGGACAAATCCAATTTCCACATGACACACCCACGACCGTGATTTAAGAGCAAAGCGATGAATTCTTCATGTCTAGGATAATAAGGTGTCCGATGGGATGCCTTCATTTATAGACAAAGTGTTGCCATGCAAACAGTCAACAATTACTCTCCTGTTGGACTCTCCCTTAGAAACCGTAAATAATGGTGATAAAGT